ATTATGTTGGTGTTATACGCTATAATATACGCTACGAAAGCGTTGTCATTCCTTAGGTTGAGCTGGCCTAGCTATGTTGCTGCCATAACCAACCAGCGTTACTCTAGCACGACAATCGTGATCTATACAATGCTATTAAACATCACTAATATTACCTTTGACAACTTCTGATAAGCTTAAAATCCTTGTGTTAGATGTGGTTCACGACAGTAGTCGAATGGCGGATTTGAACCCACGAACTTTGAGTTCACGGTCCGCACCCTGCCATTAGGCTACTAACGCTTTTACTGACGTTTTTCAAAGAGTAGGCAAATTTTATATTTAAGTTTAAATATATAAATAACGATAAACTGTAATTGCAGTTTTTGAAAATACGAGTTGGGGGTCATTGTAGAAGCGTGCTCGTCGCGACCCCTGCCAGCCCTTTTCAGGGCTGTAATTCTACACACCTGCGCACCCATGCCAACGAGGGTTAGGGCGTCCCCCCAAGGCGATGCACACCAGCTCGTCCCCGTTGGTGTGGAATGCAGCCCGCAAAGCGGCAATGGGGACCGCCACCCGTCACGCACAGCCCGACATGGCGGAAGGTGGAGGACAGAGTGCAGAGTTGGCACGTGGAATGTTAGAGGAGGCATCAGAGATAAGACGAATGAGCTGATCGAAATAATGAAAGAAAGAGAATTAGATGTCGTGTGTATGTCCGAGACCAAACGAAAGGGCAGTGGTACTGAAGAGCTCCCTGGCGGGGCGTTAGCTCTATGGTCCGGAGTCCCGGAGAGCGAGAGCGCCTGCCAAGGAGTGGGGGTGCTGCTGTCGTCTCGGTTGGTCGATGTTATGACTGAATATAAGGTTGTTAACTCAAGACTTCTCTGGGTTCGCTTTGAATTGGGACTGACGAAGTTATTCCTTTTGGCTGTTTATGCGCCGGTAGCTTCGTCGTCCAGGGCTGAGCTGGAGGAGTTTTGGGAGAATGTAAGAAAAGTTCTAGATTTGGTTAGGGTAAACGAAATAATTGTTGTATGTGGTGATTTGAATGGATGGGTTGGTACCGCTCGACCAGGGTACGAGTCCGTGCTTGGAAAGTTTGGCGATAAAAGGGTTAATGATGCTGGCAAGTTTATACTGGCTCTATGCAAGGAAAAGGGTCTTCTTGTGACAAACACTATGTTTAATCATAGGAAAATCCATATATATACTAGAGAAAGAAAGAATGAGAGAAGTATAATCGATTTGTTCCTGGTGGATGACCGACTGCGAAAACAGGTGATGGATACGCGAGTGTTCAGGGGTGCTGACCTGGGAACGGATCACTATCTATTGATTACTAGATTTAGGGGTCTGTTCACGGGTTGGCGCTACCGGACGGCAGTGACAGAACCACAGTTGGTCTGTCGCATCCGAAGCTGGAAGTTTCAGGAAGCGGATACTAGGGACGAATATCATGCGAGGGTAGCCGAAAAGCTTGACACCATCGATGGCAGAAAAGAATGTGTGGAAAGAACATGGCAGAACCTTAGGGATGGAATGGTAAGTACAGCGGAAGAAGTGTGTGGAACGATAAAAAGAGGTAGTAGTAAAAGAAGAGATACATGGTGGAATGATGAAGTGAAAGAAGCTGTAAATAAGAAGAAGAAAGCATGGTTAGACTACTTGGCCTCTAGTAATGATAAGGATATGAGAGAGAAGATGAAAGAAAGATATAAGCTTCAGAAAGTTCATACGAAAACATTGATTGAGGAAGTGCGTGAAAGGTGTAGAATGGAAGCGGACGAAAGGTTGTCGCACAACTTTAAGGAGAACTCCAAACTCTTCTGGAAAGAGGTTGGAAGGACCCGAAGTGGTGCGACGGCCTTATGAATAAACAAAGTGCTTTCGAGAACCAATGACGTCCTCTCAGAAAAATCGGACGTCATGCAGCGATGGAGCGAATTTTATAGAGAAATGAAATCCGGGGGTGACGCCGTGACTGGTACGCCAGACCCGGACCTCGATGACACTGAGGTCATCAGTATGAAAGATTGAACGTGCGATTCGAAGTTTGAAATGTGGTAAGGCTGCGGGACTAGACAGAGTTACTGCTGAAATGGTCAAGTATGGTGGGCCTCGCGTCTGGGACAGCTTTCATCTGCTGTGCAATTTGTGCTGGCGGACGGGGGATGTCCCGGATGATTGGCGATCCGCAGTCATTGTGCCTTTATATAAAGGTAAAGGTTCACATTTTGACTGCGGGTGTTATCGGGCGATCAGCTTGACCAGTTTAGCAAGTAAAGTTTACTCGAAGGTTTTGACACGTAGGATGCAAGAGAAATCGGAAAGATTTCTATGGGAGGCACAATGCGGATTTAGACCTGGAAAAGGATGCACGGATCAAATGTTTTCTCTCCGCATGATCACGGAGAAGCTTTTGGCTGCTAACCAGAAGATTTTCTGTGCTTTTGTGGATCTTGAGAAAGCATTTGATAAGGTTGTAAGGAAGAAAATGTGGGAACTGTTGCCGGGGTATGGTGTAGAGGGTCGATTGCTAAGGGCTGTGCAGTCACTTTACCGTGACTGTAAAGCCTGTGTGCGGGTAGCGCATGACCTGTCACCCATGTTTAGCGTCCAAACGGGCGTAAAACAGGGTTGTGTCATGTCTTCCTGGCTGTTCATACTGTATCTCGACAGCTGTTTACAGAAGCTGAAAGATTGAGAGTTTGGGTGTGAAATTGGGTGACATTAAAGTAAATTGTCTGCTGTATGCTGATGATGCAGTGCTTATTGCACCATCAGAGGCAGAACTGCAGGCATTAGTCACGTGTATGAAAGAGGAATGTGAAATTAAAGGTCTCCGTATGAATGCTAATAAAACTAAGGTTCTGGTATTTGAAAGGGACGAAGAGAGAACGAAGTGTGAAATATGGGTAAATCAGGAATGTCTAGAACAGGTAAATGAAATTGTATACTTGGGGAGTGCTTTCAGCCGGGATGGAAGATGTGATTTAGATGTGGACAGTCGTGTCGCTGCCGGGAACAAATTCAATGGTGCCCTGACTGCGTTAGTCAAAAGGCAAGGCGTAGCGAAGAGTGCACGCCTTGCAATACATAACGCAGTTTTGGTACCGACTTTGTTATATGGCAGCGAAACCTGGGTATGCCAGAAGAAGCATAAAAGTAAGTTGAATGCAGTGGAGATGCGATCTCTTCGTAAAATGTGCGGCGTTACCATGGCCGACCGAAAGCGAAACGAAGAGATTCGCAATATGGCAGGTTTGAAAGATGACCTTATCACAAAAATTGATAAGGGCGTGCTTCGACGGTTTGGGCACGTTGAGCGAATGAGTGAAGACCGAATGGTGAAGAAAATATATAGCGCGAAAGTAAATATTAAAAGATGTCGAGGTAGACCAAGACTAACTTTCGAAGACCATGTGAGCAAATTGCTCGAAGAGGGGAGGGTCAAGAGTACTCGGATACCTAGACATGCATGTATGAAGAAGATAATGAATCTAAAAGAACGAAAGAGGTATGTAAGGATCGTGACACTTGGCGATCTGTTCTCTCTGGCTGCCCCGTCAGGGATTGTGCGTGAAGATAAGTAAGTAAGTAAGAAAATACGAGTAAATAAGGCTACAACTTTTTTTGAAATTATCTTAAATTGAATGTGATTTATGGGCAACAACTACGCGTAAGCGCGCTTTTCTGTATGCGTTTCAATTCATAACGTTTTTACCAACCGATCGACCCTTACAAAAGTGTGCGTGCGTAGTAAAATAGTAGGCGTTAGATATTTATGAATTACAAACAGTTAAAATAACGCATTATCACACATTCTAAATTTAAAAGATATAAATGACAGAATGTTTGCGGTTTTTTCTAATCAATTTTTTTTCACCATGCGTCTATAATATTTATTCTGAACCTTTTCTGCAAATTTGGCAGTATATTGAAAAATAACCATGTATAAAAAACAACATTATCTTTATATATAAAAATTACGTGTCACATTGTTTGTCCGCGATGAACTCCTAAACTACTGAACTGATTTCAATGAAATTTTGTACACTCTGTGCAGTTTGGTCCAACTTGAGAGATAGGATAGTTTTTATCCTGATAAGTGACCCTTAAAAAATTTTTTTTGCGAATTCACGGATTTTTTATATGAAGAGTCATTGAGAAGGGCAGAACAACGTCTGCTTGGTCAGCTAGTATCTTTATATATATATAAAAACTACGTGTCACATTGTTTGTCCACGATGAACTCCTATACTACTGAACTGATTTCAATGAAGTTTTGCACACTGTGTGCAGTTTAGTCCAACTTGAGAGATAGGATAATTTTTATCCCGATAAGTGAACCTCAATATTTTTATTACAATTTAAGGATTTTAATAGGACAAAGGATCGTCAGAGAGGGCAGAACAACGTCTGCCTGGCCAGCTAGTTAATATATATATACACTTTCTATAAGAAAAATTTAAGTCATATAAAACTGCCAAATGGGGTCGGTGTTATCAACATTTAATAATAATAGGACGTGTTGCTAATGAGCCTAATGGTAAAGCAATAATTTAAAAAACTCGAGTAAAATGGTCTAATAAAAGTATTCCCTGTCACTTTCACAACTTACACGAATGTAACGACACGCATAAGTTAAAATCCATCAAGCCGTTTAGACTACGCAGTGTGTAAAAGATATATACATACATGAGTACATAAATACATACATACATATACACGCGATAAACATTACCCTAGGGAGTCATCCAAAAGGAGGGTAATGTTGTGTAAAAATAGGAATTCTTATAACATACTGGGCAGGAGTAGCGTTGCTAGGAGTCCATGGCCAAGGCCAACAGATTTTACTGTGAATTCCAAATGGATATTTACAAACAAAAGGCGACTAAATTACGCATGCGCCGAAATATGACCGCGCATCTTATTTGGCACATTTCGTGCTCTCTACTTTCTTCGAATCATATGTTAAAAGAAAAATAGAAATTTTCATATTAAGCATCGATAAAATGGGTAACCAGTTCAAGAACGTAGCATTGATTGCTTGCCTAAAAACATTACTGTTCATCTTCAACATTGTATTTTGGGTACGTAAGCATTTTTACATTTTAATTCAAAAAACGTATCTACGTAATAAATAATAAATACATCGATAAAATCTGCTCAATGAATGAAATCTCTTAAAAATGTATTTGAACCTATAGATTTTTCAAACTTCTTCATATAAAAAGTAATGTCATAAATACGAGGTCCTTATATATGAAATTGGCGTTTTGGCGAACCGGCCACTTTGATCTCAAATATCTGGCGTTTGGTTAGGAATTCCAAATTCAAATTTATTTCAAATTTAGGCTTGTGTATCATTTATTTTCGCGCCACTTGATTTTTCTTTGACATCGTTCTATTCACAATATGGAAAACTTAAAATGCCGCTTTATTTACGAATACAAGTTCCACCGTGGCACCAGCGGTGCAGAAACAGATCTAAGGATTAATGATGTGTATGGGGAGGCTACTGTAAAAGAAAACACGGCACGTTTTTGGTTCCAACGTTTTCGTTCTGGAAATTTTGATCTACAGAACAAAACCTGTGGACGGCCGGAGGGAGACCTTAGTTGACAATGAAGAATTAAAAGTGATAGTGGAAGTGGATTCATCACAAATCACGTCAGAGTTAACAGCAGGTTTGGGTGTGAGTGATAAAAAAGTTTTAATTCACTTGAAATGAAATCATTTGGAAAAGTGAAAAAACTAGAAATATAGGTAGGTACCGCGTTAATTGAGTGAAGCACACCAACAAAGACGCGTCGAGAGCTGCGTTACATTACTCAGCCGTCACAATAACGCGGGGATTTTGAATCGTATTGTTACTCGTGACGAAAAATGAATCCTGTACGATAATCGGAAACCCAGGAGAACCGGCCAAATCAACAAGCTAATATTGACTCAGAAAAAGGTACTTTAAAAGTAAGTGTCTAGTGAACCAGTGCTGGTGTTATTCACTACAGCTTCCTAAGATCTGGCCAGATCATTACGGCAGATCTGTATTACATACCATGATGAAAAAGCTAGCCGTTAAACAACCGAGACTGGTCAACTGCTTTAGCCCACTGCTGCTTCAGGACAACGCTAGACCACACACTGCACAACCACACGTTCGCTTAATTAGAGGAGCTGTGATCGGAATGTCTCTAACACCCACCATACTCCCCGGACCTTGCTCCAAAACATTACCACCTTTTCCGGAATTTGGACAATTTCTTTCAAGGCAAAAATTCAATTCCGTTGCGGCAGTCAAAACCATCTTTAAAGAAACAATTAACTATCTTTAAAATGGTAAAAGTGCATAGATAACAATGATTTGATTGATTATATATATATTCGCCGAAACAAGGCCATGCTACAGCTGTACCCGACAGTCCGCTCCGACCAGCAAGGCACACACTCTTCTCACACTCGCGCACATGTAATCACATCAAACGTGCTACTGTAACACACAAAAGAAAACATATTTAAAAAATTCAGTCGGAACACACTTTAAAAAAAATGCAGCACAACTCTCGGGGCACCATTCGCCTTTCCAGGGCACCATATACTGAGCTGCGGCGTGGATAGTGTTGCGTCTAGCTCCAGATAATAACTTCAGCTCGTATTGATCACTTGGTAACACTTTGGTAACTCGGTATGGACACTTTTATGTCAATTCAAAAGGTTGCTCAGGAAAAAGCATTCGATTTTCCAACGAAATACCTGATCCAATGCTTGACTTGCCTTTACATAAATTTAAAATACAGAAATTATTAAATAAATGTTACTCATCCCAGGATCAAGTTTCCCAAGCGCTCGGCGGCCGCCCGAGTCGTCCCGCCGTAAGATCAGATCAAAAACAGCAAGTAGCTGTGACGTAGCCTCAATCTAACCAAGGCTCTGCCACGCACCTGACTATGTCCAATTAGCCGTCGACTATTTGGAGTAAACTGTAACACCTATCAACATATTAGAATACAAAAAGTCTACTTATTTTTTCCAATGCGTAGCACGTTAAAGTTAGCTAGACCTTTGTTTGATATATCGCTTAAACATTTCGAACTTTAAAATGTATGGGCTACATTATTTCATGAGCTACGTATTTTCATATCATTTCACATTACGTAAATCATATTTCGTATGAACTATCAATTATAACAAAACCCGAATAAGTTAAGTTTTCACTTGCTTGCTTGGTACCTTTAATATAAATCGAACAAAAAGATTTAACTTTTGCATTAATACATTTCACTTTAAACTTTAACGCTAATGATTCGTCAATGTCGTAAATACGACAACAAACTTGATGTAAGACATTGAACATAAAAACAAAACGCGAGGCGCGTCATAATCTTTCACCAACGTAATAACCATGTAGGTAATAACCCAGGGCCTTTATCCCACTATTGATTTTAAAAACTATTCCACTTCTGATGTTAAAAATTATTCTCAAAATTATTTAAATAAAAGAAAGTTACTCGTATTATATTTTACTCTGAAGGTTAATTGTTAAAAATAATAAAAGTATGAGAGCGGATGTTCAACTTGTTCTCTTGGTTACGCAATTAATCATTATCAGGAATAAGACAGCGTACAGCATTACACATTTAGTAAAGAGCAAATACAGTTCGACCAACCGTAATATAATAATATGTACCTGTCACAATCACACATTGGTGTAACGTGAAGGACATAATTACATGATAACACCAAAGTATGTAAAGTAACAGCAACACAAGTAATATCAATATAACACAAGGCAGCCCTCTCAGCAACACCACCTTCCTTGCTTACACTAGAAGAACTACTTCACGAACAGAACCACATCACTTGTCTTAATTAGGGAGAATCTCAGTGTGGAAGTACTGTTTTAGCCCAACGGGCATTATAACGACATGAGATTACCGACTAATCCCTCTTAGTCGACTGCACGATACTTTATACTGCCAGAACAAGTGGGAGATTACACTCCAGCCTTAATTCTTCTTATTTTCCTTTATTATTTCTACCTTCATTCCTAACAATATATTTTTTAAACGGATGTTTAAAACAAAAGTTGATTTTACAGGTTTACATTTTTTATACTTTTTTCCTTAGTTTTCTGACGACGCAACGAATTTCTGATGACCAAGGAATATCACAAACCACATTCCTGACCCTTCTGCACCCATTGACTTCCAGCATCTTTTACCAGATTTTCACTCCAACTAGTGGGGGACTATAACATTTGTTATATGATTAATATAATTTATTTGATTAATATAAATAATTCAATGCATTCGGAAACCTATTGCGTAGAACGGATTTGCTTATTTAAGGCGCTTGTACTAGTGAATAGTCGGGTATCCACCTGGCGCACAGGCTCGCGCGGCAATCTCGGTCCCACAGCATCTTGTACGTACCGTACAGTTGAATTAAACGAATCGACTCGTCCTGATTGCTCATGATATTATATTATTAAAGTGACCTTTCAATAAAACTAAAACAAACACTATAGCCTCGCGAGCCAAAATACCACCGTACACACCAAACGAACAGCGAACATTGAGGCACCTTTGAGCGCGTCAAGTTTACCAACAATGCATGGAACGCGGTCGAGCGGAGCTCGGCCGAGGCAGCCCGAGGCACGTCCACATCAGCCGAGGCATTGGCTCGCGAGGCTGCCGCGCGAGCCTGTGCGTTAGGTGGGTAACCCGGCTTTTGTAGTACGAACGTAGATTATATGGAAATAGACACAGCAGATAATGAAAATAATAATAAATAAAGGTAATGAAATAGATATTTCCATTGTTTATTTGGTATATTAGGTAGTGCCATTATATTAGTATTATGATTTATGATTTATTATTATTTAAAACTGAAACCATTCATCCAAATACGTTGAAACTTTGGTGGGTTGTTATGAGCACACATAGTTTTGGTCGCTGCTTTCCGTCATCCATTCAGGTATTTGAATTTGGCATAATTTACGAGATTATATTCACACAATGAGAAAGGGTGATGTATTATTTTACATCATCGCAACACTAACCACACTATGTGTGACGATATATCGGACCCGGATAGACTAGAACCAATTAGTGTCTTGTCATGCGCAAAATAACAACATAAATTTCCGAAGATTAATTAATTGTCACCGTGGTCGAAACTGGCCAGGAGGGAAGATCCTATGGCGTATTAAGGCTGGAGACTAGGAGTGGCCATAGCCCCGGGTGGCAGATTTCAGACTTACATTTTGAGATAGAAAAAGTCAATATTTTAAATGATGCCTACAAAAGTTTCAAAAAATCTAAAAATTAGCTTACACCGAATACTTTTAGTTAAAACAATAAACACTGTAGCATTGAAAATTCTGAAAATATACATAATTGATCATAGGCACCTTACAATGGTAGAGACTATAAGAACAAAAAAATACATTAACTACCTATATTGTTGTATTCGTTTTCAAATAATATAGTTTCCTACCTATAACGTACTTTTACCAATTTTTATATTTTTACGATAGACTTGAAATTAAGGGGGGTGGGGGAGCGGCAATTTTATTTATTTATTTATTTATTTATTCTTTATTGCATTCCTTAATCTAAAAGAATACAATACTTAATGCCTTGAGGCATTCTCTACCAGTCAACCCATGGAGTGGTGAGAATTTGAAGTAGGTGTAGCAATATGTATAGAATAAAAATTAAAAAACAAATAAAAATGATAATTAATTACGTTACATATACATATAACAATATGTATATATAACATAATTAATTATCAATAGGCAATAATTTCTTAATTACGCTAAATGTTCAGGTAACAGGACTACTATTTCTCGTGGCGGGATTATGGGCAGAGTTCGATCTATACAAGTACATGGAGTTGTCAACGGAGTTCTCAGGGACGGCTTCGTACGTTATGATTGGCATCGCAAGTCTGATCGTCCTCATCAGTTCCATGGCCTTCTCTTGTATCATCAAGGGGCAACCAGTGCTGCTTTATATCGTGAGAAATATTTTATAATACATATGTAGTTATAATACATATAAATGAAATAAATAAAATTGTCTATAACAATAAGTCCTTTACAACATGCTAAAAGATAAAACAAAACAACAGGCAACGAAACACTTTGCCCTTGGGGTTGACAACCCACCAACATACGGACCGCAGTTACCTTAAATCCTATTAAAGGCTCATGATTTTCTTTATCACTTTTATTAATTCTAAGGCTGAATTTAGGCTCTTTGAAGAATACGTCAAATAGTCAGCTCGCTGAACAGGCGGGTGTGTGAGCCGCAGCCAGAGCACTGATGATGCTGCTTCCCATTAAGAGGCGACCATTAACTACGTGAGGTGATTTTGGCTTTTCTGCCCTTCCCCTCTCCCTGGTGAGAAGTCGTGAGACATGGCTCGACCACCCTCAATTAAGATCATTTGTGGAGTTCACATAATCGCGATAAATATTATTGTATAGGATTTAGCCATATTTTATTTTATTTTATTCCCGATTTTTTCAAAATTTTACACTGTTTCTTGCGGAAAAAAATTACGTGATATTTGCCGAGACCCTTCCTCTCCCTACGGGAGAGTGGATGAGACTCGTCTCGACCCGCCCTAAACAATCACGCAATCAATGGACGTCCCCTTACCTGAATATGGTCCAAATACCATAGACATGTTTGCGTAGATTTTCCGCCATCAGATAGTCAACAGAGCCTCGTTTGCTCAGGATCTACCGCGAGCAGGTGAGGATGACAATTGTAGGAAAATTTGGTATATTATTCATCATTACACTCATGAACTTAGAACTTATTGTATATTCTAGTAATTGACACTATACATTTTTATATGTGCAGTACGGAGGTTTCCTAGCGTGCATCTTTATGATGAACGTAGGAATTACGGCTTCGGTGATCTGCTACCGTGATACCTTCGCCAAGGGTCTCCACGACGGACTCACACAGACTGTTAGAAACTACGATCCACATAAGGCTAACTTCGACTTCGCACAATCAACGGTAATGTATATTATGAACCTTTTAAAATTTTACTATTACACAAGTTTCAAGTATGGTTAATTTGCCAAATCGTAACAATGCAAACTTCATATTAACATCATTTTTTTACATGGTAGAGCCATGCTGCAGCTATATTAGTAGTATAGTTGTAGCACGAATGGGTCGGCTCGACCGGGGAAGGACCACGCTCTCACAGAATACCAGCGTAAAATAGCAGCTTAACACTGCTGTGTTTCGTATGGTGAGTGTAGAGAACCGGAGACCGTTTTTACTGGAATTAGGCATTTTATCTTAGTCCTCACCTAGACAACGCATCTGCGTTTTGATTCTTCATTGAGGATATACATAAGTAAGTAAGTAGATGTCTATGGATCACAGCAACCACTTACCATCAGGTGGACTGAGTGCTCGTTTATCACCCTATCCTATAAAAAAAAAAAACTGTCGACTCGGTAGTGTCGTAAGCGTTTGGCGGAAGCACTAAGAGCCACGGGTTCGAATCTGTACTACATATTTGTATGACTTACAAATAACAAACAATTGTTTCGGCCTTGATATTTGTCTTTCACGATCCAGTAAAAGTTACTAGTTCATGGGTAACTTTTTGCCAATTTATTATGACTATCCTTGGTATAAAAAAAATAAACAAAATATTAGCCTTCTAAACTTAAGGTAATGTTATCTTTTTTCATGCTCCATAATCGAATGAAAATGAGAGAAAAATAAAAGAAGATTATTAATAAGTGCATGATTTGATTTGTTTATTTTTTAACCCATCGCGACGGTCTGGGTATTTTCGTGTGACGTAGGTGAATGAGATGGTTATAATCTATCAGAAGCGACAAGCGATAAAATTATTCCGGCATTTCCCTTGGTCAACGAAACCAATGAGACGAAATGGGGAAATGGATTCATGTACTAATTAACGTCAGACTATTTTAATACCTAAAATTTCTCTCATAATTATGTTATTAAAACAGTTATTAACAATTTCTTACTTTTTACAGCTTCAATGTTGTGGTGTTTCCAACTACACTGACTGGATAAGATCCTCACCACAAAAAATAATACCGGTGTCATGCTGCTTGGATCCAACTCACTGCGTTACGGCTAATTACAGCGATGTGTACCAAAGGGTAAGAATCGAAGAGTACAAATGTGGCTGACATTGCACTCATTTAAATGTCATATTGCATTTGTAATACATCAAAAATGCAGTTGAAGACTCTATAAAAAGAAAGGGAGATTATTTATTTTAGTGCAACCTTGCAAAAGCGATGCTACACTAAAATCGATAATCTGGGGTTAGGATATTATTGTGTTCAGTGATCACATCATCATTACATCAACATCGAATACTTACTCCTCGATGTCGCCGAAAATCTCAACATGACATGGGAGTTGACAAAGTTTTAGCGCAATTCGATGACAGTTTATAGCAGCGCATAAAATACGAACACACAAAAATTATTTTTTAAGACGCTGTTGCCCTTCTGATTTGTTTCCCTCTGTCATCTCTAACGACACCCAAGGGATGATATGGGTTATTATACTGATTTATGATGATATTATTTGTATTTGAGTTTCATTTATATATAAGTATTGTAAGTGGAATCCGGTGACATATGTTCGCGCGTATGAAATCGCTGCCACAGCTAAATAAATAGTCCTATATATTTAAATCTCTTTGTATATAATAAAGTTTTCTTTTCATTCGCAGGGTTGTTATGAAGTGATTGTTCATTATTTGTCGGCCAATATGGAAATATTCATCAGCGTAGCTGTTGTGACTGCCCTTCTTCCATTATTTGGATCAATCTTATCGTGTATACTTGCAACTTACATCAAGAAGTCCAAATATGATGTCATAAATTAAACTATTTTGCTCAAAATCTTTAAATATCAATTATAGTAGATAAGGCAGAATAAAGTTATATTTAAGTATACTCTATTTCTCATTATATTATAATCGTAAAAAAAATTTTTGGAGTCCTTTTGAATTTTGAAATCTCATGGTCTAAATGTTTAATAAGGTATTTAATCAAATGTTTATGAAAATTATTCATTATTGTAATTAGTCCTTAGTGTGATGTTAATAAATTATGAGCATTAAAGTGGTGTTTTTACTGTTGTATTACGTGCAATTAGTTAGCATAGCTAATAAAATGGCTTACCAGAAGAACGTTCTAATGGGTATATAGTTCAAGGTTGGCTGCATTATGTATTGCCAGGAATGTCTTTAGGAATTTGTAGATTAAACCAAGTAAATACCTAGTCTAATATAGTATTTGTCCCATCTAACAAAGCTACTATGAGAATTATACTCAAGAGGTGACAAAAATATGACAATGGCAATAAAAAATATTTCGAAGACATGCGAGGCCCGCAAGTATGCATTGGGGTTTGGGGCAGCGTGATGGACAATAGACCACTCAGACAATAAAGTGTCTGAGTGGCCAAAGAAGTGTTTCAAAAGCCTGAAAAGTTTCATTTCAAAGAGAGCTTAAACTCTCTCTGAAATGAAACTTTTCTGGCCTGTCCCAGAATTGGGACGTATATAGGCTGTAATTATACTTAATATGGGGAAATATTTAAATTTTAAACGAACATGAAAATAGTTCAATTTGAGTAGCAAAAATATAGATTATTTAATGTTCATTTACTATTTGTGTGGATTGGGTTGGGTTAAAACGGTGTTAATTTAATTGTAAGCTCTTAATATTGTGTTAAACTCGTACCGTAGTCTAAAACGGCGAGCCACTAGAACCACTAGATGGAGCGTCGACCTGATGAGACATGCAGGGAGTCAATATTTCAATGCTTAAGACTATGCTTTGTGAAAAAGTACGAGTATGTGCGAGGTCTACGTTCAGTAGTACATACATTTATACGTGGTAGAGCCATGGTGCAGCTAAGTTAGTAGTATAGTTGTAGCACGAATGGATCGACTCGACCGGGAAAGGACCACGCTCTCACAAAATACCAGCGTAAAATAGCACCTCAACGCTACTGTGTTCGTGTGGAGAGTTTAGAAAACCGGAGACCCATTTTACTGGAAACGAGGCATTCCATTTATAGATATCTATGGGCCACAGCAACCACCTATCATCAGGTGGACTGTGTGCTCGTTTGTCACCCTTATCCAAAAAAAATACATAAACTCTCACGGGCGTCATCTTAAGAAAGTCCGTCATAGGCAGAGATTACGGGGTTTCGTTTGGAAGGATGACACACCGCTCTCGCTTCTTTTACATCCATATATCAACACATATATGCTCATCGGTTAAGGGTTCCCTTAATTTCACCCATCTTCAATATATCGGCGATTTGGTTGGTAAACTTCCGTCTAGATCGTCTCTTACCTACTCTGCCACTTACTTATGCAGTATAAATTTGCCTTGTCACTTCTTCATCCATTCTTTCTACGTGTCCAAACCACCTAAGCAATAGTTGCTTATATCTGGTCACATCTTGCAAACCGCAATTTTCTATCGCACAATTTTTAATCATATAATTCAATTACCCCTAACATACCTACTTCTTAACAGTACTAGTTTTTCTGTCTTGCTTCTGCCACAACCAAATTTCACTAATACTAATACATTTTGATGATTGCTTATATTTACGCGAATACTACATCATATTTCTTCAACTACTACTATAACTACTAATCTTGCATACTACTGCAAAATTTCAAGAAACTAACTATATGCTCGATCTGCGTAGATAGGACCAAAAATTAATAACTAAAAGTTGAAGGTAGCCTTCGTTAACATCAAGACATTAAACACTTCAGTCCCCGCCATCGTGACCATGGGTGCTGTAAGTGCCCGAAACGTCAGGAATTAAAAAAATTATAATTAAACGCAATAAAATCTGTATAATTACAGCACAGGCAATTCGAATTACCATATGTAATTTTTTGACACATTTTGACCTCCCTTTTGGGAGTGAAGAGCCCGTTCACTATTTGTCCTGTATTCACACTTCGTTCTATATCCTTGTCTTGTCTACCATCCCTGCTACATACACATTCTAAATACACAACTCATACACTTGCTCAACGAACTCTCCTTCTATTCTTACTTCACATATCGCTTTACTCTCTTCTATTTCAAAAACCATCACTTTCGCATTACTTGCCTTCACTTTCATTCTCCACCCCACCGACGACGCAAATACTTAATCGTCGGTGTACAAGATAACTAAGTCATCCATTCTTAAGCAACATTCTTCAACTTTCAAAGTTTTCAAACAACTTTCCTCTACAGATTGAAGAACCACCAGAAAGCTAGGTACACAATAAAAAAGGTTCTGTAGTGTTTTAATAATAATCATTACTGGCTGTATTTATGATACTTAAGCAAAGTAATAAAAAATGCTAAATAACAACAATATATTTATTATATACCAGTCACTGTTGTTGTTGAAAAATCGCAATGTGTCATTTTATTTATAAACAAAATACAATAACCAAACTTGTTTTTACAAAACAATGTCGGGAGTCAGTATATCTGTTATAAAAATCTTTTAGTCAAGAATAATCTACAATTACACTAATTTCAGTCACTGTCAGAACTATGCTTATCTTCCTTTGGTTCTACAGGAACTTCTTGCTTATAATGTCTATATTCTGGTTTCAGTTCCCACATATTCTTGTGTGGGTTCTTCAAATTATAATTGCAAACTTCTTTTAAAATTTCCTTCAAGTATACTATGGGTTGTTTAGTAATCTGAAAAATAAAAGGTACATTACATGCAACAATATCTAGACACGTTTCATTATCATTTCATTATCAGTCAGTCAAGTTTGGAAAAGAAAAGGACAACACACTGGCAGTGATATTATTCTGTTGGTGGTGTGTGACATTACACAATTCAAGCTACTTTCGACCCCACCCCATCTAATAGATATAAACTGTTAGACCTACCACTCCTGCAATTTTACGTGTCCTGTAAAGGCATCCTTAATTACCAAAAATACCAAATTTCATTGATAAACCTATTATAGTTCTTGAGTTATTGAGGATCTGATAAGTTAATTAATAGAATCAGGCGTTACTTTGCGGAAATCCATTATAATGGGGTTGTTATGAACTAATTTGCTTGATTCTGCGTAAAGAAAAAAATTATGTGTCCTGCCCAGTTTTAAGGGGACTCTGCGAGGGCTGTCCGCTAAGATGCTTAACGACCAGCCTGCACAGAGTCTATTTCACCTGAGGATGTCGTATTTTCGAGAGTGGTGTGTCGTGCCTAGTGTGGTGGTGCTGGGGGTGGTAGTGCTGGAATTGACGGCGACGGCTATAGTGCGCGCGATTGAGGGAAGATGGGAGGTTCCCTTAAAACTGGGCAGGACACATCATTTTCTTTCTTTAACATTATAATGAATTTTCGCAAAGTAACGCCTGATTCTATTAATTAACTTATAAGAGAACAGATCTTCAATAACTCAAGAACTATAATAAATATATCAATGAAATTTGGTATTTTTGGTTTTATCACTTACTAACTCACTTATCAACACAAAAACCTACTTCTAGATAACTTAGAAACTTGAAATTTGGCATTAACTAAATTGTTTACCTTGTAGTGGCATTGTAAGTATATCCACTACCCCATATAATCCTATAGGTGTTGTAAGGTAAGAGGCGACAGAGGGAAACTGAACAAGGATATGCATAGCAGTATCTTCCTTGTAACAGCTGAATTTAAAAAAAAATGAGATGCCAATTCACTTTCCAAGGGTGGCAACAATGACAAGTACCCTATGAGGCAATCTACAGAGGAAGCCTATGTATTCAGCAGTGGATTCTTGATAGGATTTAATGGCAATGATCAATTGTTTAAAGTATAAAATAAAACAGCTAAGAAGTAATTTTTTTAATTAAATATCATCTCAAACATAATTTATCTACTATTAATACTTCCCAAGTTTAAAATTCAATATCAAAGAACGTAATAAGTTCTGTGAAAAACAATAATTGGAGTTTTCTGATTTGTCAATAAAAGATTTGAGATCAGTAGGAATGGTTTGCCAATGGGAATCAAAGGAAAATGCAAAAAAAGAGTCCTGCCACCTAGTAAACAAGTAGCAACTACATGGTTTTTCATAATAAAAATTATTTGCTACCTATCATAAGAAACAGATATACACATAATCTAGCTCAAGGACAGCAACAAATAATTTCAAAATAATTTAAAATTAAAAAATTTGTACAACTGACTTCAATATAAATTATTAAAGATAACTGAAAAACAAGTGATTAGACCGTGATCAAATTTATACGGGACCACATGTGAAGCACCAGCTTTCAAATAAAAAAAGAATCATCGAAATCAGTTCACCTAGTAAAAAGTTATGAGGTAACACACATTTAAAAAAAACACAGTCAAATTGAGTACGGTCTCCTTTTTGAAGTCTGTAGAAAAGAACGATTGCATATGCATTGTCACGAGGACTATGATGGAATGCTCCAAAAAACTGTAATTATACTGGCTATATACCTTTCATACTTGAACACAATAGTACATACACTGTAGTGCTTGGCTGCAGAAATAGAGAAGTAAATGATACCTGCCTACCCATACCTCTAGGCAGAAATGGTATTTCAGTAAATCTTTTGAAATACTATCCTCCAATTATATATAATTAATAATTACCTTTTGCAAATCTTTGATGTTGTAATACTGATGTTTTTCAAATGCAGCAAACAGCATGTTGAGAACAGCATCCTTATCATCACGAGCCTTCTTTCCTTCTGCTTTCTTCCTCTCTTGGTATTCAATCTACACAAAAAATATTTTTCATTAGGATTTCATCATATTGTATGTAAATATGAAAGTCATACAACTGAACTATCTTACATTGTGTTTATGATCTGACACAGGTTTGAAGTTCTGTACAATTCGATCCAACTGTTGAACTTGTCTCTGTGGCATAGAGGCTTTTCGTATAGATTCAGACTTGAGTTTATAATATGTTGTGTCGGCATATGGCCTACATTCTAATTTTTGTACTATCCTGCCTTCCATATATAGTTTCTCTGACTCTGGTACTACAGCATCTGTGCTTGAAGCTGAAATATGAAAATGCATTTTATTTAAATATTTTAATTACTACTAAATCATAAATATGGAAGGAATGCACCTTGGTTTTTTTTCGGTTTAAGGCCCCATAGATTTCAAGAAAAAAGAAAATATTTTATAAAAATTACATATACTAATATGAGAATAATATAAGAATTTCCTATAACCATCAAGCATTCATGAAGTGGAGCAGAAAAATATGTAAATAATATGATAGTTTTGAGGTTTTTATTTTTTTAAGTGATATTAAGTGGGGCAACATTCAACAACAAACTGGTGGGGTCTATCACCTATATTCATCTTCATTATCATCATCATCACTACAGCCCTTCACAAGTGCACTGCTAAACATAGGCCTCCCCCGAGGAATGCCAAAAAGCATGGTCATGAGCCTCCTGTGTCCAATGAATTCTTAAATATCTTATTGGTATTTAATTAGCAACTTGGGATTGCATTTGTATCAGTACTGAGGAAGTGCTGCCCCTCTGCTCTTGTATAACAAGTTGGAAGCACTCATGCTTACTTTTTGCTTGTTACTGTAGCGAGGTTGCACTCTGTTCATGTCATTTTCTAAAACACTCTAGGGTTAGCATAAATAGGTACCACATGGAATTGGACTTAGCTTATTCTATTCTGTGATAGTTTTAGAATTTATACTGGAATTTTTTATGCAGAACCGTACAAAAAATTCTTCCCATCACATGACAATATAAACTCCCAAGAAGTGTAGATACATGGTGTCATGTGATATGTAATGAAAATTAATTTCATGTAAATCAAAATTAAAAAAAAAAATATATCTTGAAACTATGCATTTAAACTGTATACTATTCTAGGTCAGTTAGAGGCTGCATAAGAGAATCAACTATCTCATATCATTCTGTGGGTGTTCTAAGTGGCGATAGAGAGAAATGAAACAGGAGATAAGCAGCAGTATCTTTTTGATAATACATCAAAAATAATAAAAACTGTAATTACCAACTAGCATGCAAATTTGATATCTGTACCAAATACCCTTTGAGGCAATGTATTCGGGAGGCATTTATTTACCAGTGAGCTAATAAGCTGTAATTAATGAATGACAAAATTATTTGAGGATATACCAAAAAAAAAACCAGATCCAGATAGTTATATATCGTTGAGCCATCAATTTCAACGTTACATTATATAGATCTTCAAAGAAAAATTAATTAAAAAAATAACACATACGAACAACATGGGAGAAAACACCTAAAGACTGTCGTGTAACATTTGACACATCCAGACGATGTTCTTTTGGTATACTTTGTTCGCCAGGATCCTTAAGGCAAAGGACTGCTTCAGAAAGAGAAAGTTGTACTTGGGCTCGCTGTCCTGGTACACGTGATATTTTTAATTTTCCTACTTCGATGTTCCCAGGTGCCTTTTCCCATTTATTAGCTATATATTTAGGCACTTTTACAAGCCATACTCCTCTCCCTGTATTCGACAAATCTAATTCACGATCAACGTGAGGAACAACGTTAGTACTAGTCATTTTATGTTTACTTTGTATGTCTGTATAAATATATAAATAATTTTTAAATCTTTTCGCGAATTTCAATTACTTGTTAGTTGCATTAGGTTCAACTGGTATATAGTATATTATCTATGAGTTTAGTTACTAAAAACTAAAAAGTTAAAACAAAGCTATTCTAGCAGTAAAAATCAAAGATGTTCTCTCTAGCTTGCTACTGCTTGCTAGATGCTAGCTTGCTACATATTATATATATGGACTATGGTTCTCTCTGGATACAATTACAACTGTCAGTGTCAGACTTTTACAACTGGCTTTATGGCTCTGGGTTCTAGCCCTTCTGAGCCTGAAGTTGCAGTGTATAATTATCCTTCATAGTTACACTGCTTCACAATATGTTGATAAATCAGATTGTGCAGCCCTTGGGCTTTGGCTTTGATTTTGATGGCAACTTGAGCCAGCAGACAGCTGACAGTTGGCGATGGTATCTCAAGGCGCCTAAGCAGACAGACACCTTATCTTGAGAATAACATCACCAGCAAAGCACTTGTTTCACCGTTTCCACTAATAGTTCACACACGCAGACACTTAATACACAAAATCGAACCACTTTTACATATCAAAATCCACTTTAAACCATTTTTTAAACAATAATACAAGAGCAGCAATCAGACTGTCACTCAAAGAATATAGAATATTTTACTGTCACTTTTAGTTCTAAGTACTCTGTAACTGTCAAAGAATACAGGGGAATATTAACTCAAATCTCATTATATTGTAATCCTCTGTAATACAAAAAAAGCCATTCCCTTCGATTCAACCACTAAATTTAAGTAAAATATAATGACGTCTTAGGTACTTTATTTATTTATTTATTTATTTATATTTCCTACTAACATCTACCATTACAGGGAAAAACCTAATTCGATAAATGTAGCATCTCAATTCAAAATAATAATAATAATACAATTAAACTATGTTATTGGAATACATCATAAAGCATAAAGTAATAATTTAAATGGTAAAAGATAATAATATTAGTAATTACAACACACAATAATTAATTTAAATAACAACACATTACACATTATAATTCAATTTGAGAATAACATATTATGAATAATGTCACTTTTGCAAACTCACTTCTTGAACATGAAAATAAGTCCAACTTCTCAGCAACCAAATTTAGTATGTGTATCGTTAGCGTGAGGGGGGTGTTGCGTACCAGTTTAGTCCTGCCGCGCGGCACCGCGAACAAGCTCGGGCGCCGTCGCCGCTGTACATATCTATCAGGCACGCGTAAGCCTATCCATTGCAGCACACCCGGGTTGCTAATGTAACCACGGAACACCTTTAAAATGTAGGTTACCAGCGCTAGATCCCTCCTAGTTTCCAACTTGTTGTATCCAACCATGCCCAAAACAAACAAGGTTGGGTACATCAAGGGATAGAAGGGATAAACCCCATAAAGCTTATGATATACAAATCGCGTGAATTTATTCTGAATGCGTTCTAGCATAAGACTGTATTTATTTTCATGTCGAGCCCATATTGCCGAGTTACACTCCAGTTGACTCCTTACTAGAGCATCATACAGCACTGAGATGGCTTTTATGTTGGTAAAATTTACTGCTCTACGAAGGATAAATCCTAGTCGTTTATAAGATTTCTTACATATGTTCAAGATGTGCTCCCGGAATGTCAATTTGGCATCCATCTGTACCCCAAGATCCCGGACTGATTCCTCCCTCTTCACTAGCTCGCCATCCACCTTATAGTTGTAATGGAGTGGTGCCCTTGATCGACTAAATGATAGAATAGAGCATTTTGAAATATTAAACTGCAGCTTATTTTTGTGACTCCATTCTACTACTTGGTCGATATCTTGCTGAAGGTGGCTACAATCATCCTCACTTTTGATGGCTAAAAGCAATTTTAGGTCGTCTGCAAATAATAGACACTTAGCCTCTCTTACTACTTCTGGTAAATCATTAATCATTATGTTGAACTTTAACGGACCTAAATTACTGCCTTGGCTCACACCAGATCTAGTAAAGTAAGGCTCCGACCGGTACCCACCGTACTCCACATATTGTTTTCTATCTTTCATGTAACTCGCAAAAAAATGAAGCAGTTTAGGTGTGCAGCCAATTTTCGCCATCTTTGACAATAGGGTATCGTTATCTACCAAGTCGAACGCCTTTCTGAAATCAAAGTAGGCGGCATCTACCTGCAACCCTGCATCGACATGAGGAACTAAATACGTCATGGCATTTAAGAGGTTACTGGTTATGCTCCTCTCTGTCCGGAAGCCGTGTTGGGGCGTCCGATAACTGCGGTGCAACTTGTTCCCGTACACTTCGCTGGATGGCTCCCTCAAACACCTTCGCAGGTGTTGAGAGAATCGCCACTGGTCTGATGGATTCAATCGTAGATTTGTTACCCCCCTTAGGTATTGGAATAACACGAGTGATTTTCCAACTTTTTGGAAAATATGAATTCTTTAGACATAAGTTGAAAATGTGTAACAACGGTTCCGCTAGCACTGAGCGGCAGTCTCTCATCACAAAGGCCGGTATACCGTCCGGGCCCGCCGAGCGCTTTGGTTTGAGCCGGGCAAGCGCCGCGCGCACCTCGCCGAGCTGCAGCTGCGGCACGTGCACGCGCGCGCTGCCCGCGCCGCCAGCCGCCACCGCCTCGCCTACGTCCAGACGTGCTGGCTCGCTGTTGTATACTGAGTAGAAGTATTTGGCAAATTCAGTCGTACTTTCTTGATCTGACAATGCTACTCCATCTTTCAATATTTGTTTACGTTTAACTGCCCCTTTTTTTGCCCTAATATGATCCCAAAAAGACTTAGGATCCTTTGCCAAGTTACTTTGCACACGATTCTGATAGTTTAGGTATGCGCTATCAATACTTTCTTAATTTGCGCCCTGCAAGTAGAAAAAGCTTCGTAATCAGCACGAGATCCGGTCGATTTATATCGCTTGTGAAGCTTAGCCTTTAATTTTATATCCCTAATTAAATCACTAGTATACCACTCGGGGTAATGTCTTTGATCTACTTTCATTTTCCGCTTTTTCGGTATACAATTATCTAAAACACCGTAAAAAACACTATAAAAAAACTCCAAAGCTTCCTCTGGTTCCTGTGTCTCGGTAATCAAACTCCAATCAGCGGAAGCTAATAAAGAATAAAATAAGTAAAAATCAGCTTTATAAAAATTCCATTGTGGTTCAATTTGGCTTGCTGATATTTCACTGTCTAAAGCAATGGGCTGGGCCGTCACAGGCGGCAACGGCGCTCCGCCAGCACCGAGCTCCAGGGTCACCACGAGCGGTGGGTGATACGAGTCCGCCGGCACTAACGGCTCGTCAGCTTCGCATACTTGTACAACATCACTTAATCCTAATGAACACAACACTAAGTCTAATTGACTCTGATTGCAGTTAAGTACTTTACTCATCTGAGCAAATTCGCAAAAGGACTTAAAATATTCAAAATAATTTTTAACATTATCATTACTTGAATTTAAGTTAAAATCACCTATCAAAATAATATTTTTATATTTAACACACAGTTGTTCTATTATCCTAAAAAACATAATGTAGACATCTTCATTAGTCTTAGGCGGGATGTAAACAACGCAACATAAAAATAAACATTTATCTTTGGCGTGTACTGTCGCACAAACCAGTTCAAATGAGCAGTTATCTATGTTAACGTCATCCAATGCATTCACTCGTCGCAGCTGCAACCCGTGTGTGGCCACGAGAAACGCGCCGCCTAGCTTACGGCCGTCCGCTCGATCACACCTTATTATTTCATAACCCGGTGGCACAATCTCCGCATCCATTATAGAATCGTTACATCCTGTTTCCGTAATAGCAATTATATCGGCATTCAATGATTCAATATTATTACAAAAACAGTTTAACTTTGTACGAAGACCCCTGACGTTTTGGTAATAAAATTCAAAATTGGTATTTTTCTTCAATTGATTTGTTTGTTGCTTTTCGAAACCAAATCCACTCACAAAATTCGGCATTGATGGGCCACACTTCCGGTTGACACAACTTTTCATACATTGATTCTGATACTGTTACGATAAAAGAAGCGTAATCCCTCTCTGTCTTATGCTTAATTTTCTCTATCTTAACATTAGCATCTAAACCACACACGCCTTCGACATGTGATGTTAATTTTTCACTTGTTGTTTCTTTAGTTAAACGCCAAACGTAAAGGTGCCGCTTTTTTTCAGTAGCCTGTATATCTACTAAAACCGTATTATTTCCTTTCTTCACATTTTTTGATTGGAAACTTAGAATTACCCAGGCTTATAGCAATAAAATCCAAAAGGAATGTTTATTGCCTGTTTAGAAAGTTTGCAGGAAAGTGCAAGTGTCAATAACGACGATACTGCAATGACCTATATATATATATATATATATATATATATGGCTATACACCGTGATTTAATTTCGCCATTTTGGCGCTGACAACAGAAGTGAACGTTCACGTAATAGAGTAACGTCCATTCTATTTATGTGTAATATTAATATAATGCTATTACTTGCCATACCAGCTTAATACCTCATTTAAAACCAAGATACACGTTTTTATTCGTAACTACAGAACGGATTTTGTACCAGGCAGATTTAGAATAACCAACCAACTACCAGACCGTACTACAGAACAAAAGTATAATTATACAATACGACAACAAAACAGTGGTGGCATACATAAAAAATCAGGGTGGAATCAAATCGGTATCACTCCTAAAACTTGCAGGCGACATCTTGACTATGGCGCTACGCAAGAATATAGACATACGAATAGAACATATTCCAGGGCACTACAACGTAATATCAGATCACCTACCCAGGGGCAAAAGCTTACCAGACTGGCACCTATCAAACGGGATTATGAAAACGATTTTCAGAAAATGTGGGCAGATTTAGTGAAAAATTCGTCAACCAAAGGAAAACAAATTCTAGAGACTTCATGGCGCTCTGAGC